CAGGGTGACCCTAGGGTCCCATATCAAAAGATAGGAAAGAGCTGGAGGTGATGAGGTTCCCTGTGGGGACAATATGGATTTTAGGGTGACTCTGGGGTCCCTTCTGGAGGGACAGAAGGACTTTAGGGTGACCCTGTGTTCCCATATCAAAAGACAGGAAAGAGCTGGAGGTGATGAGGTTCCCTGTGGGGACAATATGGATTTCAGGGTGACTCTGGGGTCCCTTCTGGAGGGACAGAAGGATTTCAGGGTGACCCTGAGTTCCCATATCAAAAGACAGGAAAGAGCTGGAGGTGATGAGGTTCCCTGTTGGGACAGAAGGGATTTTAGGGTGACCCTGGGTTCCCTTATTGAAGGACAGAAGGATTTCAGGGTGACTCTGGGGTCCCTTCTGGAGGGACAGAAGGATTTTAGGGTGACCCTAGGGTCCCATATCGAAAGACAGGAAAGAGCTGGAGGTGATGAGGTTCCCTGTTGGGACAGAAGGGATTTTAGGGTGACCCTGTGCTCCCTTCTCCCCCTCTCTCTCCCCACAGCCAAGATGCCCATCCCCTGCGTCAGCTCGGCGTCTGTTCTCCCACCCCCATCCCCCCCCTCCAGCCCCGGTGGCAGCAAGAAGAGCCGCTCCCTCGGCAAGGTGAAATCCCCCGGCACCGTGCGCCGCCTCTCCATGAAGATGAAGAAACTCCCGGAGCTTCGGAGGAAGCTGAGCCTTCGCAGCCCTCGGCCGAGGGGCCAGGAGGGCAGCACTTCTCCTTCCGACCCCCGGAAGGAATCCAGCAACGTCATCAGCCGTTATCACCTGGACACCAGCGTGGCGTCGTTGCCTCGAACCAAAGCAACCAGCAAAGGAGGTTATCTGAGCGACGGCGACTCGCCGGAGCTGCCGGCTAAAAGTGGGGCGAGAGACCGAGAGGAGGATGGGGAAAAAGGCTTGGATGTGGCTTCATTCAGACCTTACAGCTGCGGGGAGCTGCAAAGGGGAGGGCAGAGCATCTCCGGGTTGGTCAACGTCCATCTGTACGGCGTGAGGGATTTGAAACCTCCCGAAACGGGGGAGGTTTTTTGTGTGTTGCAGGTGGATGGGGTCAACCGGGCTCGGACGGCTCTGCTGCCCTGCAAGGCAGCTTTTCTCGGCCTCAATCACACCTTTAACCTGGAGCTGGAAGGCGCCCAGCTGCTCAAGGTGATCGTTTTCTCTTGGGATCCTTCCTCCTGTCGGAACCGACTGTGCTGCCACGGCGCCGTGCTGCTGCCCCACATCTTTCGGGGTGA